TGACGTAGAACAGCCCCATGACTCCGCTATGGCGTGTGATACTACTGTAATTCGACTCGAAAATCAAGGTCTCCCCTTTAGATATCTCGATGGTTCCTGGTGGAAAATGACAGGTTGACATTTCAACAATGGAACCGGCTTCGTCTCCCGGTTCTTCTCCCTTCCCGTATCTCGGTATTGAAGAACACAAAAGTTGGCCATCCTGGAAATGCACACCGGCAGAGCTCATTACCATCAATTGGATACGTACATGTATATATATTGACATAAATACCTCTCTATAGAGAGCAGAACCAATGGCCCCTGGATGTTGGTGTGCCACAGCATATATGATATAACCACTAAATGGCTCAAGGCTTATCCTTTTGTTGTCGATGCATCCATCGTTAGCCAATCCGGTGGTATCGCAAGGTTCGATTTCATATTCCATCTGCATCAATGATAATGAAGTTATTTGAGAAGAATTTCCAGTTGATAAAAAGGGAATTGTGTTGCACTACGTCATAAACGGTTCATCTACCTTGCACTGATGATCAGCGTTAATCCCAGTTGAATTGTCTGTCCTTTTCCAAGTATCGGTAATATCGAGTAGATAAACTTTAACCGGCAAGATGGAGCTATCCATATCGACCCACTTTACCGTATATTGAAGGTAAAAAGCTCTTTTAGCATTCTGGAACCCCTGTCTCACCTTGCATCGCGTGCCATTGTAGCAACATGACACACCCCCTCTGTAGTCTGGCCTCAGAGGCTTTCCGTCTTCATCGACCGTAACATTATACAGATCGCAACGGCATTCGGCACATCCCAACTTATCTTCCACACCTCTTGTGTTGATAGCGTGAATGTTAAGCATCCATTGCTCCTCAAACCCAGAAGGGATCTCAGCAGGATTACCGATTGGTATTCCGTATGGATCGGGAATATGCACCACGGTGTGCCTCGATTCGGACCCGAGGCCAAAGTACTGGGGAAGCAGGGTACCCTGGCAAACCCCGCTGTTTCTCCCGGAAACATAATTGGACTTGTTAACTTCTGCACGGTCAGAAAACGCTGATATGTTAATGCCTTTGCGTACATGATACCTAACAACCACCCAATGGTGCAGATAAATATCGAGCAACGGAACACGGTTCCCGGCCTCATCGATCACATCGGCATTGAAATTTTTCAAGCCGACATGACCTTTCGGAAAGTCGATGTTATAATAGAATTTATTTTCGACCTCTCCCGGACCAAGCACGAACTTAGGCGACCGGAAAACAGCACTTTTTATCTTCATTTCGTTTCCCCGGAAGGCTTGTGAATATGGTAAACTTAGCGTCACCAAAATCACCACCAAAAGTAACCATCCTTGACCGTAACTCTCCATTTCCCTGTCATTTCAACATCTTGAATCAAAACAAAACCATATTATATATTCTAAACTAACTAATAATTTCATGGGGGGAAAATCAATCCAAACAAAAAAAAAACCATAGAGCTTGTAAGGAAAGAACAAACGTACGTAAAAGTTCTGAGATTAATGGCCGATCGCCTGTAATGCTACAATCTGTTGATTGGCAGAAGTTTCATACGGTTTTATAGTTGAGTTGAATATCTATGTATGTATTGCATGTTATGTCGGAGACAAAAAACCGAGAACGCATTAGGTTTTACCACGTGTGTTTTGATGATAATAATAGATTTTACTTCTTTGTGAATATCAATGGACGGGAAAGGAAATTTGACTGTGATTGTCAAAGATCGTTTGGTACCTAGCATGAAGAATCTCAAACACTATAACTGGAAGATGCAATATTAATATTAAACACGTTTAAGAGATCAATAATATTATTTCGTTTAAACAATTTAAAATAATTACAAGATAACATCTATTCATAATCTTTATAATTAATATACGAATCAAGTGACCTTTAAGGTTAATGAATTTATCGTTATTCCTTAAAGCCCCTAGTCTGATCATCCCATATGTAGGGTATAAATGTTTATTATTAAATAACTGAAAATCTTTAAACAAATACTACCTTGTACTAATCCCAAATTTATCGAAAAAAAGAAAGGTAATTTTTTTTAATCATTGACAACATACACACACTGTAGATACAGTTGCTCGAACTTAAGACCTAAAACAATACTTTTTTAACTACTGAGATCGTTCGATGGGTAGCTAATAAATATATTTTTTGATTTAAAGTGAAAAAGAATTTAAATATTTTTATATAAAATAAACAAAATAAGTTACATTTCGTTAATAATAAAAATATTTTTCATTAAAAAGTATTAAAATAACAAAATTCTTAGTAAAATATTTAATTAACTAAGCATATCCCTATAACTCTCAAAATCTTAGTAAGCACTTTTGTCCATACATATTAATATGTAATATATCAACACCAAGAAGCCGACACCATCAACATGGCCTCGTCAGTTCCGTTCCTTGTCTCCGTAAACGGAGTAGCTTGAAAGGGGCAACGCCAATTCGTTTATCTACACACTGGATTTTAACAATAAACACACAGTCTTTCACTTTGACGTCATTAATTTCACAACAATGTTTTGCTGGAATTCACGGATGCAATATAGACCAGGGATAGAGCTTATTACAGCACATTCACATCCATATTGCTTCATATCCATCCTCTTCGTCACGCTTAAATCGATAACGAACGGCGACAGCGGTAAGAGCTACCGTACCAATCATAGCTACCACCACGCAAAGGAATGTTAACGGAGTAATACTATCCTGCGTCTGCATTGGATGATTGTTTCATTAAAAACATCCTAAGTTTGCCTAACATTTGTAACAAAACGTTTCTGTGAATTATGATTCGAGAGTTGGAATCTTACCTGAATAACAGTGTGCAAGGTGTGCATTGGCTTAGGCAATTGGTCCACAACCAAAATGTAGAACAGCCCCATTACTCCCGTATGATGTCTGATACTACTGTAATTCGACTCCAAAATCAAGGTCTCCCCTTTAGATATCTCGGTCGCTCCTGGTTGAGGATAACAGGTGGTCATTCCTACAATGTAACCAGCATCGTTTCCCGGTTCTTCTCCATCCCCGTAAATCGGTAATGAAGAACACATAACTTGGCCATCCTGAATTCACCAAAATGCAAACATGCACAGGTCACCATATCGTCTTATTGCATACATACATACATTGACATAAATACCTCTCTGTAGAGAGCAGAACCATAGCCTCCTGAATGTTGGTGTGCAACACCATATATGAGATAACCACCAAATGGCATGTCAAGGCTTATCCTTCTGTTGTCAATGCATTCATCATCAGCCAATTCGGTTGCATGGCAAGATTCGATATCACATTCCACCTGCAGCGAAGATATTAAATGGTGATATTTCGGAAGAAATTCTGTTGCAGCACATAAACGATTCATATACCTTGCACCGGTGCTCCGAGATACTCCCAGATGAGTTAAGAGTTCTTTTCCAAGTATCGGTAATGTCGAATATATAACTTTTAACAGGCAAGACGGAGCTATCCATATCGACCCACTTCACAGTGTATCGTAGGTAAAGTGTTCTTCTAACATTCTCGAATCCTTGTTTCACCTTGCGTTGCGTGTGATAGTAGCAGCAAAATAATCCGCCTTTGTAGTCTGGCCTCAGAGGTCTTCCAAATGTATCGACTGTAACATTATATAGATCACAACAGCATTCGGTACACACCAACTTGTCTTCCACACCCCTTGTATCAATTGCATGAACATTAAGCAACCATTGCTCCTCAAACCCGGAAGGAATCTCATCAGGATTACCAAATTCTAGTCCATATGGATCGGGAATATGAGTTGCAGTTTTCCGTGTCTCAGACCCGAGACCAAAGAACTGGACAAGACTAGGACAAACCCCACTGTTCCTCCCAGGAATATATAATTCGTCCTGTTAAGTTTCGCACGGTCATCAAACTCTGATACCTCGGTGCCTTTACATAGTATCTAACAACAACCCCATGATGCAGATACGTCTCGTGCAATGGAACAGGATTCCCGGCCTCATCGATCACTTCTGAAATGAAACTTTTCACGGCAATATGGCCTTTTGGAAATTCGACATGGTAATAGAACCTATCTTCCACCGATCCGAGTCCGAGAACGAACTTAGGTGATAGGAAAACAGATGTTTGTATCTTATTTTGAGCTCCCCAAAAGGCTTGTGAACATGATAAACTTAGTGTCACTAAAAGCCCAATGAAAAGTAACCATCCTCGACCGTAACTCTTCATTTCCCTGTGATTTCAACATCTTGAATCAAACCAAATCCTATAATATCTTCTAAGCTAATTATAAACTTCATAGATTAGAACTCAAAAAGAATATAGAATAAGAAAACAGCCTAGTCTTATGGGGAAGTAATAAGTTATCATTAAGTAATAAGATTGTGCATAAAACAGCAAACTTTTGCCAGTGAGAAGTGATTTCTTATTGGCTACGCTGTTTTTTACTCTCTCTCTCTCTTTTCTCAAAATATCATTCATTGTTCAATACATTCCAAACATATATATATATATATATACGAGCTTCCAATTATCTTATTACTGGGTGCAGGGATGCTTGAAGATATAAATAACCATTCAATCTTGATTAGAAAAAAGAAACCCAAGATTGAATTGAACGCCCCAAACATAATACTGGAGATTTTAAGCCGGGATTTGGGCAAACAACGAGTAAGTGCAATCTGGGGAACAAATACAGAGTCTGGCAACAATCAAATCCATCGAGGAAAGCAATCCAACGGAAAAGAAAATTAACCAAAACAAAAATATAGAGTTTCTAATATTCAGGAAAGAAAAAGGAGGAACAAACAAGAAGAAAAAGAACCCAGAGCGTACCTAGTAAAGTTCGTTCTCTCTTCCAACTGCCTCTTAATTAGGACACATCTTGTCGATTCGATGACGAAAATGCAAGTTTATTTTATAATCGAGTGATCCAGGTGTACATTTAACGACTAAAATGTTTAAAGATATTGAGTGACTTTAACGGTGATTAAGAAGAATATTATTCTTTCTAAATCTTGAGTTTAAATAACTCATAAACAACAGTTGATTACTTTGCACGGTATCCATTGTTGTGCTTTTTATACGAACTATATGTTTTCATTCAAAATAATGTCAACAATTGCAGTTCCAAGTTTCATCTCTCGAGATCCAAGAAAGTATAACAAAAGTGGATTGAATTGAATTGAAAATATAACAAAAATCACAATATATGTTCCTGCAAATTGACAGAATTCCCCTCGCATGATTTCATTCAGCCGACAAAGGTATTGTTGAGATAAAAGTATAGACCGGCAAGTGCAGCAATTCCAATCACAATCGCAATAGGCAGTGCCTTCCTGCATCAGTTTCAACATGAAACCACAAAAAGGCGGCAAATCGACAAGCACAGGTGAAGGATTAACGAAAGGTGTTTGAAGGGTTTTACCCAACAGCTTTATCTCTTTTCATTTCTGCTTTTCGAGCCTTTCTAACATCTTTATCGTTAGCGTTTTTCGCCACAGCTGGCTGGTATGGCTTGAATCTCCTCTTTGGAGCACCACAGACTGCAAAATCCCATTCAAAAAACAATGGTATGAATTCATATAGAGCATGTTGATTTTCATTTGCTCGTCACCTTACCAGGACAAAAATAACTGTCGGGAACTTTCTCAAAGGGCGTCCTCTCGTTATATATATACCTGAAACAATCGTAATATGGATAAATTCAACAACACTTGATCTCAACTGTAAGAAAACAGGCAAATAGAATTTAAAAAAACAGCGAGGTATACGGTGTACCCGCAGTCACGGCAAATATAGGCTTGCTTGGAGGCCACACGCATGGAAAACTTCGGTGCAGTTGAAGCAGCGGGAAGACGAGAAGGGAGCAAGAGATGGAGCGATGGAGAAAAGAAAGGCGATTTCAGAGCAAAACGATGGGAGGGTTGCCGGAGGCCGGCATTGGGTGGAACAGTGAGTGGAGAAGTGGCTGGTTTAGAGGGTAGCGTGGGAGCCTGAAGCGCCATTTGCATATTCGCTCTACTTTTTTGTTTACCTGCTTTGGCTTGTGAAAGGAATGGAGAAGAAGAGGTGAGAAGATAAGAGAGATGAATTGGTGTAGGACTAGGTTGGAGAAAGTATGTGGAAGCGTGGCTTTCATGCTCCCCACACAAGCGCTCACTTCATGATTTTGTTTTGGGGTTAACTACTTGAATAGTCACTTGACTATGGGGATAGTTCTAATTTGGTTGTTGATTTATTAATTTTATCAATCATGTGACTTAGTTATTTAAATGAAATCAATTATGCCACATGTTGTTGATGATTAAGGTAGATACTTTATATAATTACACATTTTATTCTCATTACTTACATTTTTATCAATTAAGTTTTATTTTTAATTTAATTCAGTAAATTTAATCTTGAAATAAATGGTGAAATTATAAGTAATTGAATCGATATTATTTAAATGGTGAAGTGACTCAATTGATAAAATTAATAGATCAATGATTAAATCAGAACATCCTATAATTCAAATGACTATTCAAGTAATTTACCCTTTGGTTTATGGGGTTTTCTTTTTAATACATTTTTTTGTAAACTATACCTTAACCACCTAACTATCTATTTAATCATTTTACTTTTGTCATAGATCTTTTAATTTTGTCAAAATTAGTCATTTAATCAAATTTAATTTGTGTCTGGGCAGATTAGTCTTTTTATTTTTGTCACATCTATTTTATTCTTGTCAAAATTAGTCATTCAATCAAGATATGACGCGTTGATATAAAATTAATCATTCAATCAAGATCTGACATATGTCAACACATGATGGGAGAATGAAATTGCAAGGTTCATGAGTGATTTCTTGTTTGACAAAACTCACCCACACAAATACTATAATCAACCTATAATGATGCAGTTCATTGAATGAATCCTCAATTCTGAGATAACATACAAAGAACAATCTCATTGCATTGCTCAAGCTGCAAAAAAAAAAAAACACATCAATATTCTAATTCATTTCGATAGAATTATGTTCTACATTTTTTGTATCTCTGGCTCGGTTTCACAGATAAACACCGATAACATTCTGAGGTAGGTCGACTGAGCAGAATGCTGGGAACTGTTACCAAGGTTTCAGGTCACCGACAGGGCCAGCGGTCCAATTCAAGACCCTTTCACCGGGTTTCATGTACACGCTCCTGTCATGCGGCAACTTACGTGCAAGTCCATTCAAAACTTGATGGAAAGCATCTCCTGGTTGAGCGGGCTGGGGGAATAACATTGCCTGCTTCATTGAAGGGTTGGCAAGCAATCTCTGTTTTCTTAATATTACTTCAGGCGGGATCGATGTGAGTAACGTGTCCAAGTTGGGGACATCCTTCTCATCAACGAAAACACCGATTTCTTCCCATGGAATCGCATCGGCAAAGGGTAGAACAATGTCATCTGCTATAATAACAGGAATGCATCCAAATATCACTGCTTCAACCAATCTAGGGCTCCAAGGTGCCCACCCAAGCGGACACAAACAAAATACGGCTCGCTGCATATCCTCATAGTATGTAGTTGGGTGCTCGGTTGAAATGTCAAAGAGTGGGTTGTCCTTGAAGTTCTCCCATACTGCCGCTCTAGCTCCCCTGGAATATTTTTGAACAAGTTTAACTCTAGGATCACAATCTTAGGGCAAGCACCCATAATAACTCGAATAACATAAAAAAGGATTCATTTGATGATTCTAATTAGATATTTGGCAATTTCTGCATCATTCTGTAAACATTTCCAGCAACACGAAGGCAGGCCCTCAATTCCAATATCATAATTTCCATAACAAAACATCTCTGATTAAACCATCGCAATGATTTTTTTTCTATTTACACCTCATAAGAAAAATAAAGACCCTTTTTTGGTCAAAAATCTGTCAATTAACAAGTCAGCTTAGAGAGACATACCTTGCATAATAACCACCTTCCGGGTCATTTCCAACATCATAAAAGAGTCCGCGGAAGTAAACAAAATTGACCTAGGAGTTTTTTCAGGAATCAGGTGTGTTTGCATTTTCTGGGGTGGAGCATATGGTGGAATTGTAATTGATCCCTCTTTTAGGCAAACATGGTTCCGTTGTCCAAAAGTCTGAACCAGTGTGGCTCGTTGGAGTAAGGAAAGAATCCCTCTTTCAATAGCTTTCTCCTCCTGCGACAACATATGCACATAGGTAATGATCAATTCTAAATCAATGATTGGGGGTTCATTTTCCAGAAAACAAGAGCCAAATAACATTCAGATAAATGCTAAAGACTAAAATCAAGCCAAACAGTTGAAAAATGTGTTGATTGTCAAGGAGGGTAGTGCAGAAAAGGGAGAACAATGGGAATACTTGATAATGGAAGCATGCTCCAAAGTCATGTGGCGTGAGGAAGAAGTGATCAGCCCCTTCTGTCCGGTTCCAATAAGGCCAATTCGAAGAAATAAGCTGTATTGCGCTTCTCATCATTCGTGGTGACTTAAATGGCAAAGGGAGGCCATTTGGTGTTAGGTCACATGTAGTGTATACGGGAGTGTAAAACCAATCAGCTTCTTCAGGGTTGAGGGTCCGAACAGGGCTGGATAAAAGAAACCTATGCATGTAAATCTCAGCTGCAAACATGTGGTTGAGGCATCTTTGGTCCTTCTGCAATATCTTCTTGTTGTATTTGCTAGGAAGCTCATAAACAAAAACTTTCAACCTTCCAACTGGATCATCTTCCAAGACATCACCAGCACTGCCTGCAAACATGAAAACCACTCATCGAATTTGTAATTCCCCACTTCAAATTTATTGTATAACAACTTCTACCGTTATTGATGCACTAGAGAATCACCAGTGAACCGTAAAAAAGAATGTCATAGTGGCAAAGGTGCTCGACATCAATGCAAGTGAGCAAGGAGGAAACTTTTACTGCTCCTCAATCTCTTTTAAGTTCATTTCCCATTTCACTCTGAATCCAATTAATGAAATAAGGAAAATAACAAAGTTCGTACATCCTTCTAAAGGGAAGTATGTGATTGAATCTCCAAACTTCATACAATGTTGATATAATCAATATGTCCTAAATCAGTTTCCTTAGAAAGAATCCCTAAATAATTGCACCTAAAACAGCCCCATGTAATCCTCTAAATACAATCTTGATAATCCTATTTCAGATTATTTTTCTCGCGGGAATTATCGCACATATGCAAAACTAAATCTTAAACCTAAGCTCATAAAGCATCAGATATCAGACTACCTCAGTATTTTTTTGTTCTACTTATTGTAAGATTTTATTCAGCTCGGCGGTAAATTCACTCGAATAACATCGAAAACATAGTATAGGTATGCTAACAAAAGATTAATATCCCAAAAAAAGTTCACCAATACCATTTCTTTTGTTCTAACGTTACAAATAGGCAGTTCGGTTTATCGTTGAGACTAAATAATTTTTCGACCTTAGGAAATATATAACCTTACACGAAAATCGGAACTTTTTGTTGAGAAATGAGAACTAAAGTAGGTAATTGTTAAGCATAAAACATTGAAATTGAATGAATAAAAAAGAATAATCAATTTGAAGTCATAAACAATCTAGCAAATATCTAATCAGCGTCAACTTAAGCAGATCGAAATCAGTTCTTAAAGAGTAAAGAAACCCCAAAAAGGAATCATCAAAATTAATTCCTAAAACTCAGCTAAATGAACACAGATAAATATGGGGGGAAAGGGGTAAATCTTACCAGAGATTCTCTCGGTAGGTTGACTACGACCCAGCTTGAAAGGCTCAATCTTGACAACAAAATCGGCAAGAAAAAGAATTCCAATAAAAACCCATCTCCAAATCTCCATTTCAAAACAAACTTGTTGGAATCTAAGCAAAGAAAAGCAGCTCGGAAGAAGAAAACCCCCAAGATTCAGCTGCAAACTTCAGCCCCCCACACAAAGAGAAAATAAAAGGGAAAAGAAGAAGCAGCAGTTGTGAAGTCACAAAAACAAGTAGTTAAGAAAGAAATTTTCTTAATAATTTCCGGGTTTTTAAGGGTGGGTTGTCTTCTTTTTGACAAAGAAAGGCCAATATATAATGACAGAGAAGGACAAGCAGAAGTTTGATTCAATTTTCCTTTTTGTTTTGTTTAATTTTATATTTTTATATAAATAAGAGTTTACTATATGATTTGATGGGAAGTCCATCTCATTTGTACCAGAACCCTACCATTGTCATCAATCTTCAAAGTGCCTTCCTAATATATATATATATATATATATATATATATATATATATATATATATATAATAAAACTTTCGAGATAATGTTCTGGAAAAAATTAATTCACGAGATAAAATACTCTCAAGATTAATTGTTTAAATAAGGTGAAATCCACAGTGTTGGCCGTAGGTCGCCATGCCTTCCGGGCGACCTACTAGGTCGTCATGTCTTCCCTGCGAGCTACAAGAGATAGCATGTGCCATGCACGTCCCAACACGCTGGGCATCCGAGACCATCCGACCGAGGCTATCCGAGAGCATCAGATGCCATCCGAGAGCATCCGAGGCCATCCGAACGAGCTATGTCAGGGCATCCGAGGGCAGCCGAACGAGCTATGCGAGAGAATCCTAGGGCAGCTGAGCGAGGGTAGGTCGCCCGGAGTGCATGACGACCTATGTGTTGGGACGTGAGGGTAGGTCGCCCGGAGTGCATGGTGACCTACAAGGTCGCCCGGAGTGCATGGCGACCTACAAGGTCGCCCGGAAGGCATGACGACCTACGGCCAACATTGTGATTTCACTCTATTTGAGCAATTAATCTTGGGAGTGCATTAGCTCGTGAATTAATTTCTTTCAGAACATTATCTCGAAAATTTTGCTATGTATATATATATATATATATATATATATATGTGTGTGTGTGTGTGAATTTTCTTAGTTGTTTAATCAGTTTTTAAATGTTTTAGACAAATACAATGATATGCTGCCGACACAAATGATTCTACCAATATATTATCCATCTTCTATAGATTATACGTTTGTGTATACATATACATATATGTATACATATACGTATATATATACGTATATATATACGTATATATATACGTATACATATATAATCAAATGTAATTTCT